CATTTATTTTCCAAGAGATTTGGGCAGGTTGGGGCAGTCTTGGGTTGCAGCCATGCTTGGGTTGCAGCTGGACAGGCAGGGAAAAGGCTGTAGATGGTGCAGTTCAGGGGCCATGCAGTGCCATGGTAGCTGTTAAAGTTCACTGGGTTAATTCAAAGTTCACCCAAGCAAAATTTTTATCTGAAAACATAAATAGTAATTGTCAGTTTGTCATTTGTTTGATTATCCAGCTGTTCAAGTCTTCTCGAGTTGGGCAATTCATGCATCAACATTCCCATCAGGTAGGCGTAGTTGTTCTGGAATTAAAAATATGCTGCCTTCCAGGCAGATGCCATTTTCTTTTATTATTTATTTGTGCTAGTAAGTAAATTGAAAATTGTGCTTTTTTAAGGGAAAGGAGCAGATGCACCCTTGTGCCATTAAGTTGTCAGAGCTGAGCAGATGAAGCACGGAGCATTTCTGCAAAATTGTTCTCACAAGTCTCATTTGGGAAAAAAAGTTTAACCTGCAAGAGAAAGGGATGAAATCTGTAATGGAACAGGGCAGGTTGCTTGGTATATACAGACTGATTGAAAGTAACCAATCTTTTCCTTATTTTCTGCACTTTAACCAGCTCTCCTTTGCTGAAAGGGTGCAGCTTTGGAGTAGATATAAGGAAAAAATTCTTGACTCTGAGGGTGGTGAGGCTCTGGCACAGGATGCCCAGAGAAGCTGAGGATCCCCCATCCCTGGCAGTGCCACATTTTCACCACTGGTTTGGGGGTTGTGGTGGAAAGTTATTAAAAGGAAAGGTGATGGATGAACCTTCATCAGTAGCAGGATGGAGTTCTGGAATGAAGCTGGGAGTTCTGTATTTGAAAACCAAGCAACATCTGCAGGGATGTGTGATAATGTGCCATGGAAAAACAGAATTGCTTGAACTGATGATTAAGAGAGAGGATATGATTAAAACAAGCTGATTAGATGAAACCAAAGTGACAAGACAAAGCAGCAGGGCCTCCAAGAGGGGAGTGGGGAGACACGACTGATGGCAGTAGGACATGAATTATTGATTGAAATCTCCACCAGAAGTCTTTGCATTTTCTTATCTGGGAAGGGAGAGAATGAATGAGAAGAGAACAGAATTATTAAACAGCTTTATCATTGCACTGGAGTGGATAATTAGGCAATTAGGATTACTAAAAGTTGGCAAAGCAAGAGGCCCTGAGGACTTGTGCTCCTGATTTTAGAGGAAGGTGGAGAGGGAAACAGGGAAAAGCCTTTGGTGAGAGATTTGGTGGTGCCTTGTGGTGAGGCTGAAAGGCAGAGCCAAGCTCCTGCACTCAGCCCCTGCAGCTGCCAGGGCACAGGGGGGCACAGGAGACCTGGAAAATGAACAAGAACTTGTCTGAAGATGGACAATCCTTAGAACAGCAGCAGGGAGGGAGATCAGGGGGGAAGCCTCAACATAAATGGGATCTGGACCCAAGTGAGTCCAGAGGAGACCACAAAGATGCTCTGAGGGCTGGAGAAAGGCTGGGAGAGGTGGGAGTGTTCAGCCTGGAGAAGGCTGTGGGGAGACCTCAGAGCACCTTCTGATTTTGGGCATCCAGTGCCATATACCCTCAGGTGTCACCTGCTGTCCCCTCCTCAGCCTCCTGCCTACATCTGCCAAAACCTGAACTTCCAGCAGGGTTTTGCTCACAGGGGGTTGTGCCTGTCCCTTTGGGCCAGGTCCCACCAAAAAGGGCCAGGCAGACACCCCAGGCTGCTGCTTACCTCTGCAAACGAGCCTCACTTCTTTAGCTGGCTGCTCATTTTGAAGGGGAGAGCTGGGTAAAACTGCCTAAAAATAGCAACATTGCATCTGTAGCTGTCTGAATTCATCCTGCACTGCTCTGAGGCCAGTGCCAGACAAGCATGCTCCTCCTCTGCGCTCCTGACCGGCTTAATGTTAAGCTATATGTTATTTAAAATTAATTTGCAGAGATGCAGACATTATATAAATCGCTGAGGAAATGTCAGATTATGGATGTAATTTGCAGAAGTGCTCCACGCTCATCTTACTTAGCTCCCCATGAAACCAAGGGATCAAAATTAAGCTGAGGCAGAGAGTTTGGAGCAGTGACCATCTGAAAAGTGCTGTGGAAGATGAGCGAGCACTGCAGACACTTGTTAGTCATTCACACCCAGAGACTCTTGGAATTTCTTCAGGACATTCAGTGATCAGAGAAAGGAGGAATAAAGGGGATGATGACAAATACATGGACTAGTGTATTTCTTACTAATTATTTGCTTGCCCTCACTGGCAAGTCACCTGGTGTTCTTGGAGAGTGCTGCATTTTCATGGGAAGGTGCCAGCCACAGCGTTCCTCTCCCAAGCCAGAATATTAATTATGGATTCTGTTGCATAATTAGAGTCTGAAGCCCAGAATTAATTGATGGTAGCTGCTTAGCATAGATATCAATTCTACCTTGGAATAATGCTCTGTCTCCTAGCCACACACAGATGGGTAAATCACTGGAGCAGAGAGTTCTCAGTTTTGGTGGCACGGTGGCTTGGGATCTCCTGCCAGGTGTTAGAACCTTGGTGACATGAGAAGTGTTTGTAATTCATGGTAACCCAGTGCTCCTTGACTTGTCCTGGCCCCAGCCTGGCAGGTCTGGGACCTTGGCTGGGACAGCTCCATGCTCTCTGCTCCTTCCTAGTGCATTGAAGGTTTCTGAATTTCATTAATTTGGGGCCATTATTTTTCTCTAGCAGAGGTCAGAGGCTGTGGCTGCATTAATGCATCCCCTGGAGAGTCAGGGAGAATCACCTTGGGCTGTTTTTCCCTGGGTGGCCTGGGTTGATTTCTAAAGGCACCTCATGGCTGAAAACAAGGCTGGGTTTAATAACAAACAAATGTGTAATAGCAAATAAAGATTTGTACTATCGAGCTGGTGGGCCCTGGCGGGTGTGCTGCTGTTGTGTGGTGGAGCAGAGGGGAACAAAGCCAGAGTCTGTGTTCATTAAAAATAGGTAATGGAATATTCTTAGCTCAGCCCCTGCCTCTGCCTTGGCAGAAATACTCTGGAGTTAATTGCTGCCGTTGTTCAGCTGCAGGAAAATGGGTCGGCTATTGATGAGATCACTGCTCCCATGGAATTGTTGGGAGAGGGGAGAGGGGTAAAAATAGGCTTTGTTCTCAGCTGGGCACTGGGGGTGCATCTGTCCCCAATCCCTGTGTGGCTGAGCCACTGTCACCTCTCCTCCTGGCAGTGTCACACCTGCAGACCCAGCCCGGGGCAGCCATGGGTTTCCTTCCTCTCTGGGATTCCACTGGGAATTCCATCAGGCTGTGCCAAGGGAAACACAGGTTGGATATTAGGAAAAAGTTTTTTACAGAAAGAGAGATAAAGTTTTGGAATGGCTGCCCAGGGAGGTGGTGGAGTCACCATCCCTGGGTGTGTTTACCAAAGCCTGGATGTGGCACTGGGTGCCAGGGTTTGGTTCAGGTGCTGGGGCTGGGTTGGACTCAATGATCCTGAAGGTCTCTCCCAACCTGGTCATTCTGTGAATTCTGTGAATCCAGGGCATGCAAGCTTGGGCTGGCAGAGGAGGATTGTGGTGGCACCTTCATAAACTGAGTTTTGCATGGCTCAGCCTATGCAGGCCAGGACTAATGATGGGGAGAGCTGATAAAACAAAACCTCTTGTTCTCTTCTAGTGTTGTGTGTGTCCCTCTCCTGGATAATTCATCTTTGTTTTTTCTCAGCTCCTCATCAGAGATGAGTGCACCTGTGCCTCTTTCACACGTGTTCACCTTTAGCTACTTTGGGATCCTTCTGTTTGGAAGGTGTTGTGGTGCTAACACTTGAAAGGGAGTATTCAATTGAACTTGTGTTGTATCTGAGACATAAAATAACCATTTGCTGCTGGCCCTCCTGTGCCCCCTCCCCACTCACAGAAGGGTGCTCTGAGTGCTGCAGGTGCATCTGCAGACACTGATATTGCCAATTCAAGCTTTGAGGGGACGTTTCATAAGAAAGCAGGCTTGGAAATCAGGTCTAAATCCATAAACTACCTGTTACATTTGGGATTTAACACACTCTGGAAAAAATATCCCTCAGAAGGACATTGCTGCATCCAAGAGTCCCCTGTGCCTTTAGCACTGTCCTCCTGGAGAGATGAGAATCCTTGATAAAACACACTTGCTGAGCCTCCAAAACCCCCAATATTTAACTGTTTATTGCTTCTTACCTATGAGCAGGAATTTGTTAAAATCCTGTCAGATCCCTGTGGGCATTTTGCCGTGGGTGCAGTGCAGACACAGCCAGTGCCCTGTGGTGTTAGTGACTCCTGCAGCCACTGCTGAGCCCTGGCAGCACTTTGAGATCAGTGAATATTCCATCCCAAAGCACCTGCCATTACACAGTTTTAACTCCCAGCTGTCATATTTCATGTTTTACTCAACTGTCAGGAGAAGAAATTCGCAGTGCTGGCAGTACAGATTTGCTTGGGTTGGTGATTTAGCACCTCCAGTGCCATCCCAGCCCTCTGGAAGCTTCCCAGAGCAGCCAGTGGCTCTTCCAGAAAATCAGGGGAATAAAAGGCAGTGAATAATACATTTTTAACCATCGTTACAGGCTATACAAAATACAGGGAAGAATATCCATACCGAGGAGGCCACTGGAAGGGGAGAACTGCACTGTAAGGTTTTCTCCCAGTGTGTGCATGAAAATTGATGGTCAAAAATCCACAGCCTGAAATCCTGGTTTTTATTTTCCTTTTTAATTCACTCTGAAGATGTGATTGCTCAGCCATAGGAGAGCTACTTGCCTGCCAACTCACTCCAAGAGTTTCTTGTGCTGATTTGCTGCATTTGCTTTTTTCTCATGAATGAGAAAAGAGGAAATCTAATGTTCAGCCTTATCAGCTTGTCAATTTAATTGCTGTCTATTTTAATGTTATCACTATCGTTTGTCACTAATTAATGGAAGTAACATGATTACAGCTTTTATTTTTCCTTATTTTTCAGTGAGAAGCTGGATGGAGAAGCTGAAAGATAAGGTAGGAGGCTCAGTGTTTCAGTTCCTTTTAAAGCAAGCCACTTTTGCTTGCAGGAATAAATAAATTTATGTCAGTGCAGTTCTCTATACAGACAGTTGAGAAAGGGCTTAAAATTTTTTTCTGGGAGGCAAATAAACCAGATGCTGCTGGTATAGAGTGGTGTGAATCCAAAATAAATCCCTGATGGGTTGTAACTAAGAGCAGGAGAGACAGAAGTGTTTGATTGATTTCTCTGCACCAGAAAATGACCTTGGCAGATAAGCTGAGTTGCTTTTTTTAATTTCCCCTTAACTTATCCTAGAATAGTTTTGGTTGGAAAGGACCTTTGGAAGTCCATCTAGTCCAGCTCCTCAGCACTGAGCAGGGGTATCTTCACCAGACCAGGGATTTAGGACCCTGTCCAACCTGACCTGGGGTGTTTCCAGGGACCCCGGGGTAAAGAATTTACTTCCACTCCTTTTCTCTACGTGCTGAGCTCAGTTCTGGATGCAAATCCAGAGGCTCTGGTGCTGCTCTCTGGTGAGAGGCTGCATGCCATGCCAGTGCCTCTGGATGAGGCCTTTCCAACCTGCACGTGCTGCAAATCCCTGCAAGGAGAATGATCAAATAGAGTAAAACTGATAAACTGGTAAACCAGACTCTGATCCTTCCTCCCTGGGCTGGTCCATGAATCAAGAGCTGTGCCAGCCACAGGCAGTGATGGCTTTTTAAGCTCTGCTGCCCTGGAGCAAATATTGACATTTCAGAATGGTTGTGAAGCCTTCCAAGTGTTGTGTTGCTGACAGCAGAGCCATGAAGCTGGAAATGAGGTGACAGCAAGAACATTTTGTGACTCAACAGGCCTTGGAAATTCTTGAACAGGATCAGAGTCAGTAGAAACAAAAGCCATCACAAGGAGTGGGAGTGATCTCTGAAATCACATCTCTGAGCTTAGGCAGGCTCACCCAACCAGCCCAGCCTTCCCACGTGCTCCACACCAAATTCCAGCAGCACTTTTGCCATCAAATCAGAGCAGAGAAACAGGGGCTGGGTGTCTGGTGTCCAGGACTGGGGGGTGGGAGGGTTTCAGGTGGGTTCCTGCCCAGCCCTTTTTTTTCTGCACTAGGAAGGAGGCAAGTCTAGAGGCAGTCTAGGGCCTCCTTGGCCTGGGATTCATCCCGAGCAGATGCTGAAAGGACAGAGAATGGTTTTCCCAGCCAAGGTAAAGAGCAGCCCCCGAGGCTGGCTGTGTGCCTGCAGGGGTTGCAGCATGCACAGTCACCTGCTCATGCCAACACGTGGCACAGCACGAGCTTGGGGACATGGGTGTCTTCTCCCTGAAGCTGTAGCTCTCACATCTTTCCTCTTGTCACCTTGTTGGCCACCTCTGTCCCTCCCTGTTGCCAAGGGGCTGCATGCTCCAGTCTCCAGCAGAGCTCTGGGGAGTCTGAACCTGGTGCAGGCAGCCCCTGGGTGTGTGGCAGTGCCCAGCACAAGCCCTGCTGTAACTGAGGGACCACTGGTGTCCAAAGAGAGACTCACTCCTGAGCCACCTCCCTCCTTTGGGATCTCTCACCTGGCTCACATTTTTCCTTAGAAAATCCCAACTAAAAACACTCCCCACCACTCCCGGCCAGTTGCAGTTGTAGCAAATCACTTCCAAATAAACCTGTTCATCCCATTCCCTCCTCTTCCTGAGTTTATCAGCACCAGTCTTATCTGCCCCTCTCATTTGTCCCCATCCTCTGTTTTATAATCCCTCCACCCAGGAGAGAATTCCAGCCCATCTCTGAGAGAAATGTCCTTCCCTGTCCCTTAGATGTGGGGCTGTGGGAGCAGGAGCACAGGGTCAGGGACAGATTTATGTCTGGCCTCCTGCAATCACTGTGCAAATGCTGCATTTGGTGTGGCAAATAATGGACATGGAGTTCCTTTCCAGTTCTGCTGTTATCTCAAAGCACAGCAGGGCCAGGAAGGGCATGAGCATGGATTGGGTGTATTGAAAGCATCCCTAAAGAAGCAACATTTTCCACATAAAGGGGTGAAAATGTGGCTCTGGCCTGTGAAATGGGGTTTTCTATCAAGAAAGTGCAGAAGCCCTTAGAAGTTGGGCTGCAAGACACAGAAGGGCTGGATTTGTGTCACATCACAGGTTTTTGGGGTATAAAACATTGATCTGGGGGCTGGGGGAAGCCTGTAAAAGGCCATGGGCTGGTCGGGTGTGAAAAAGGCTCACAGACAGACTGAGGGGTCCATTGTGATTTCTGACATGGAAACTCAGCTGGGCAGCATGTAAAAGCCATTTGCAGCTTCCCCTCACTGCCCATGCCAGCAGCAAACTTCCAGAAATAGAAAACCCCACCGCTGCACTAATTAGGTCACCCAATTAAGGCACCTTAATTGCCTGACAGTGACACAGCCTTCAGCTGTGTCCTCACTAACCTCCTTTTTCAGGAGCTGGGCTCAGGCATGCAACCCCTTCCCAGCACCCGAGCTGAACAGGGCTGGGGTTTCTGGGAGGGTGTTCAGGGAATCTGGACAATGCAGCTGGAGATCCCTCAAGCTTTAGGATCCAAACACAGAGGAGCTGTTTTTGTTTAAAGCACTGAGTAGGATCTGGAGGGGCTTGGGGGACAAAGCAGCCCTCCCTGGCATCGTGCCTGCCCCAGATGAAAGCAGTTGTTGTCATTCTCCAGGTAAGTGTACAAAGGCAGGCTAGTGCACCTGAATAACTTTTTATTTTCCTCCCACTCAGTGGATTATGGAAGGGAAGGAATTATGGTGTGTGTGCTGTGTTGTGTTTTGAGAGCACAGATGAAGAACAGGTGCTGTAAGCAAAGGGCTGAGTCTCGCTAGGAGCTGTCTGCTAGTCCTCAGAATTGGAGCCTGCATCCCATGGCAGGTGTAAAATCGATTTTTGGGGGATGTAGCAGGCAAAGGGTGAAGCTGTAGTGGCACAGCAGAGGACTGTGGCTGCAGGGTGAGGAGAGGCAGAGCTACAGAGTGGGGAGCCAGGCTCTACCTGCCTCCCTTGCAACACTGAGCCCACCAGCCCAAATTACATGACGATTCTGAAGTAACCTGGCACTTTAAAACTTAGATTACTTTTCATTTAAAGCAGCAAAATATAAAATAGCAGCACTTGGGAATATTTTCCTGAGGATTTAGGGTGTTTAGATGTGTAATTTTAGATTAGCCGTGCTGTCTGTATTTTTTTGTTTTAATGGGCAGTGCAGACATATGGATCACAGTGATAGAATTGGGGCTGGTTTACTTTTGCTGTGCTCCCCTTAAGGCCACCTGAGGGTGTGTGTGCCCTCCCTCTGTGTCACCATCCTGCTGCCATGCAGGGAACCCCTTCCCATGGAAATCCAAAGTGTTTGGCTCCAAGATTTTGAGTATAAAGCCGAGGAGGCACCGGTCTTGTGTGCTCCTCTCATTTGCCCCATCCTCTGTTTTATAATCCCTCCACCCTGATGAGGATTCCAGCACATAGTGGCCCATCTCTGAGAGATTATGTCCCTCTCCTAAAGGCAGGCAGGTACTGCAGGGTCTCAGCTGTCACCAGTAAATATCTGTCAGGAAAAGCTGAGTTGTGCTGGTGACCAGCTTGCTCCTGGAGGTGGGAATCATCCCGTGCAGGCAGCCCAGTAAACTTTGAGGAAATCACTGTAGGGATAGATTGCAGTCCTTGGCTGGTGAAAATGGCTCTGAAAGGATGGCTTTGGGAGTGTTGCTCTGCTCCTCTCTTCTCCTTTTAGGCAGGATACATGTCAGGGATGCTGGTTCCTGTGGGAGTTGGAATAGCTGGAGCCCTCTTCATCCTGGGAGCGCTCTACAGCATCAAGATTATGAATCGCCGGAGGAGAAACGGCTCCAAGAGACACAAAAGGAAGGTATGGAAACTGCCAGGGGAAGGAATGGAAACTGCCAGGGGAAGGAATGGAAACTGTGAGCCCTTCTGGCTGGAAGGTAAACACAGCCTGGCTGGGGTCTGGCTGGGCTGGGGCACCTCGGTTACGGGATGGGGGCAGCTGAATTCTCTTCCTTTTGTTTCTTTTGTGCATGTGGACCTCTCTGATGTTTGTTCTCCTCCCCCAGCAGAGGGAATTTAACAGCATGCAGGACCGAGTCATGCTCTTGGCTGACAGCTCTGAAGATGAATTTTGAGTGGAACTGCAGTGCCCTTGGGAGAGCCCGTGACTTTTCAGAGGAGGGAGAGCGGGGGGCAAGAAGAACAAGTGACTTTTCTGCTGCTCCCTCGGCTGTCCCGGGCAGGGGTGGTGTCCCCAGCCCAGTGACAATGACAATGCTATGCTCTACGTGTGCCACCCGTGGTGTTTGTTTTGATACAGTAGTGGAGATCTCACACTCGCCCCCGGCACCTCATTCAGAGCCACAGCTGGAGCTGATCCATGTGGATGATTATTTTCCTCTTGCCCTGTTGTACTGTTTTGGTCCTGGCTGGCAGTAATCTAATCATAACAATAGCTCTCACCCATCCCAGGAATGGAAATCTTTACTGTGAATGACTTCTGTCCAATTCATTTTAAATGTTACATTACCTGAGCTAGAGTTCGTTAGTGCTAAGATTAGCTGCTCTGCTTAATTAATGAGTTGTAAGCCTGAACTGTACCCCTGGCTGCCCATGTACAGGGTTCTTGATACAGTTTGAAGCACATTTCTGCCCCCACTCTCACCCCTTCCTTCCTTCAGCTCTGCTCCACGCTGCTTGGAGACACACAGGAATGGCCTCAGCACTGATTGCACCACAGAATTCCGTGTCCATTTTCAACCAGCACTGTGTGTTACAGCACAATAAATACCAGCGCTCACCTACTGACGGGTGCTCTTGCCTGCATCTCTTGGCTTTTGGTCAGTGTGCAAGGAGGTGAGAGAAGAGGCAGGTCAGAAACTTCCCCAGCTTTTGCCTCCTCTTGGAAGGACACTAACTCCTGGTTCTTCTCTTTCCAAGGCTGCATTCCCATAGGGATGAGAGTGGAGCCTCTGTGCCCCTTTACCCCACTGGAAAATGCATTTTCAGCCCCTGAAAGCTGCGTGAACAACAGCACCTTTGGGGGATCTGGATGGGTCTTGTCTCACAGAATGGTTTGGGTTGGAATGGACTTTTGAGGGACCTTTCCAACCCTGACACCTTCCCCTATCCCAGGTTGCTCCAAGCCTCATCCAGTGTGGCCTGGAACACTTCCAGGGATGGGGCAGCCACGGCTTCTGTGGGCAAGTGGTCTCCAAACCATGGAATACAGAAAGGCCCCAAAGGCTGGGGAGCAGATGGCAGTCACTGCTGAGGGATTTGTGTCTCACAGTGGGAAAACAGCAAGAGCTGGAGCGATGTCAGCTGTTGGGTGTGAGATGACCCCGCTGGGAACCCTTGGCTGCAGGGAGAAAGGTGAATTCATAGCACAGATGGGTGCAGGGGGTTGTGGAGGTTCTCTGTTAGTGCTGAGATTTGAGGGACACAGTGCTTGTGGTGACACAGGCACTGAGAGGAGGAGAATAATGTAGCTTTGCCCAGAAATGCTGTCAAAATAGCCAGGAAAAGAGCTGCACTATTGAGCTCTGCTTCCCACTTTGAATTACTCCAATCTGCATGTAAAACATCCATGTTTCTGAGGTGGGAATCGCTGTTCTGTGGGGAATCATCCTTCCTGCAAGGAGCAGTGACTGTTGCCAGAGGAGATGTGAGCAGAAAAGTAAGGGCAGACCCCACATCTGCTGAGATTCAATCCCTCTGAGCCTTTGGAGAAGTGGGAGGGAGGAGAGGTTGAGGAGGGGCAGGAGGAGGATCTGGTGGCCTGTGGAAGTGGAAAGGCCTGTGGATGGTGGGGAAATGTCTTGTGGAAGTGTCAGTAGGGTTGCAAAGCAGAGAGGACTTCCAGGAGCCCCTCCTGAGGTGAGCTGTCTCTTGAGAGGGTCAGGGCCTGCTCTGGACATTAAATCAGATGTGATGCTCAGCAGAGCCCAGGCACTCTCCTGTGAGCCTGTGAGCCTCCCTGGGTCACCTGGACAAGGACAGGGGGGACACCCCAGTTCCAAAATGCTGCTCAATGCTCAGTCTTCCAGTCCCACAGCTGTGGGTGGTACCTCAGTCATTCATCCTGCTGGCTGCATGGGGAGACAACAAATTTTGGGGGTGATGGGGTGGGGGGAGGGTCTTCATACTCTAATCCCTCCAGGAGAGGCTTCCCCAGACAGGGCTCCATGGTGCATCTCTGCCTTTTTGTTGCTGGAACATCAGTCAGGAGGATTTTGCCTAAAAGCAGCCCAACATCTTGAACAGGCACTGACTGGCAATACCATGAAATCCAAAATTCAGGCCTCTTTATCACATACTAAGTGGTCACTCCAAGTTAAGATGAAGTTTTCCCACCAGACTGATTTCTCCCTATTTCCTTCTCATTCCTAAATCTGTTGGAGCTTGGAGGTGCTTTAAGGTGTTGACAGTCCAGCTGATCAATCCTGGCTGTCTTGCACTATTGGGAAATGCTGTCCCTTGGGCTCTTGGATGATTTTTTTTCCCAGTAAGGCATGGTGGGGATTGCAAGGTGAATAGCTGATAAAATACCTGATAAAACACAGAGCTGCTGGGTCAGTCAGGAGGAGGAGGAGGAGGGATGGCTGAGGAAGGCTGCTGGTTTAAGTAGCCCAGCTCTAACAGCTCAGGAGGATCCCTATGGATGGCTTGTCAGTTTGATGGGTTGGGAAGGTGGGTGGGAGGTGATGTGGCCTTTTGTTGGGCTAATAAATCCCCAGTTTGGGAAACACTGCCTTTCTGCAGGGGCAATCAGTTTTCCCTGTCTCTCTTCTCCCTCTCCAGCATAATGAATTTGAGGAGTTAAAGGCAACCTTGCCAGTCAGGATGATGGAAGTGGGGTTTTACTGCATCTGTGGGGGGGCCTGGTGTCCTCAGAGCCAGAGAGGACGTGGCAGGGGTGGCTTGGATGCTGGGAGTCGACCAGGAAGGGAGGACCAGCTGCATGCACAGTTCAGTGTGGGCTCTCTGATCTCTGCTGGAGACAGATTTAGGAGTTAGGTGGATTTCCCAAAGGTTTTTCTTGTGATCTGTCTGCACTCCAGGCCTGACTGTGGCTCTGAAATCCTTCAGCCAAGGATGGGACCCGGGTGCTGCTGGCCAGCAGTGCCAGCTGAAGGCCATTTGGAGGGGAGCTTTCTGTGAAATAGTTGGTTTTGGTCAGCCCTGGAGGGTCCCCACGTCTTCAGCTTAAGCTGGAATTCAGGTGGGCAGTCAGAGCCAGCCGTGGCTCGAGGGAAGCTTGTGGGAGCCTTGGGAGCTCAGGCAGAGTTTCCTGCAGCATCTGCAGGTCCTTAAGGCACAAGCACCACTCAGCCCCTTCCCTTCTCATTCAAGGCCAAGAGACTTCGGATTGGGCTCTTAAAAATATCCTCTGCACAGCTCCTGGAGTTGGATTCATTCCCCTGGAATGACCAGCTGGCAGCAGGGAGGGTGTGGGAGCTGAAGCTGCAGTGGCCTAACACTGCTGATTGAATCTTTTCCTCTGCCTTACCAAACCAGCAGGTTCCTTTGGAAGAGGCAGGGCATGGAAGGCAGCCAAGAAGGACCCTCCTCATCCTCAGTGCTGGGTGAACTGCAAGGCCCCTGAGTGCTGAGGGTGGTGACATTGGCACTGCAATGTCACTGCAGCAATTAACACCCCCTGCACCCCACAAGCCAGAATTTCCTTGCGGGCACTGCACAATTTGGCATCTCCAGCCCCATTTCTGACAGGAGGAGCCAGCCTGCCTGGCAGCTCTTGCCCCCTTGGAATGCACCTCCACCACAGAGCTGCTGATCCCTAAAGGTGTCCCTGAGGCTCCTCTGGGCTGCTCTTCTTCCACAGAGAGCTGTGGGCAGTCCTCCTGCTTCCTTGTGGTTTTCTCTCGTGGACAGGAGCAGCTCCTCATCCTGTAACTATGGAATGTGGCACTTTGTTACATGAAAACACTGGGAAATAAAAAGCTGTCATTCAAAGCTGATTTTAAGTGCCTGTCTCCCTGATCTGTGCTTCATTCAGTGTCCCAGGCAAAGCTGTGAAGTGATGCTTGGAATATTTGGGTGTTGTGTTTCTTTCTCCAGGCTGCATGGTCGGTGCAAGGACCAGGCTGGGCTTGCAGGGGCCATGGGAGCTGTGGGGAACCTCAGCTGGCACTTTTTGGGTAGGATTCACCTGGAATCCTTGATGTATGACCCCAAAGTGGCAGGAATGAGCCCCAACAGTGACATCTCTGTGCACACCAGGATATTTTTTCATTCTGTTTTGTCCTGTTTCTGATTTCTCTGTGCCCAGATCTTCCAACCCCCCAGTACCAGGGTGTCTGTCTGCCCTTCTCCCATCTCCCTTCACTAACAAGAGCCAGCAAGAGCTATTTGTCACTGTGTGTGTTTTCTCTAATGGAAAATGGCTTGTTCAAAACAAGAAATTCCCAGGGAAATAGCTGCTTGGGGATTGTATGAACACAATCTTTGCTAATTGGTAGTTGCCAAAAACAATCTGTATATTCATGAAGCTGTTTGCTGCACTGCTGGCTTTTTCCAAAGAAAAACAAGACCTGCTGAAAGAAGATAAACAATGACAATGTGGGTTTGTTGGTTTTTTTTTCCCTAGGTCTATTTTCTTAGGAAATTACTCTCTGTGATCTCGCTGCCTCACTCTGAGCCTGTCCATCAGCTGGTCTCCTTCTAATGTCCCTGAGTCTGCCAGCCAAGCCAGGGGGTTGTGGAAATGGGGGAGAGAAGAATCTATAATAAAATAAATAAATAAATAAATAAATAAAAAACAAAAAAAACCAAAACCCCAAAAACACAAAAAAACAACAACAACAAAAAAGAAAAAAATAAAAAAAATGAAAGAAAAGTGTGTTTGGAGCTATTCTGAGGCTGCAGAATTCCTGCATTTTCAGCATTTATATGTGGCTTGATGGAGAGGACAAGCTGGGTGTCCTGGAAATCATTGGGGTTCCTGCCCTGAACAAAGCCCAGGGATGAGTCTGGCACAGGGCTCAGCCTATTTCAGTCACGAGCAGGACCCTGACTGTGCAGAGCAGCACAGACAGCCCAGCTTGGGGCTGTTTTCATCTATGAATTTGGGAAGGGCAAACCAAAGGCATTCCCTGCATGTTCTGGTGGTAAACACACACACCAGGGTCTGTGCTCAGGGCCAGGCACAAAAAACCTCCTTTATTTGAGGCAAATCTCATCCTCCCTCCTGTGTAACTCCTGGCACGTGTGGGGGTCACAAGCACTTTAAGGTGCACAGAATTTCGGTGTGCAGAATTTTAGTGCACAGAATTTAAGCTTCCTTAAGGCTTACAGAGATTTCCCCTTTTTTTCCCCCAGTGGTGATGCTGTCCCAAAGGAAGGATTTGGGTCTCAGCCAGCAGCAGGGAGTCAACAGAGATGTTCCCAGCAGAAATGTTTCCTTTCTTAATGATAAGTGCTGGGCACCCAGTGCAAACCCATATGGTATTTGCAACCCAAGTTTTCCACCTCCTAGGCACTGTGGTTTTTTTCTTGTTTACTTTAAGTCTTTTTGGCTTAGGTCTTAGTCTGATTTCCTGGTAAAAATCTCCTTCCAGAACGATGGAAATGTGTTTCTGTTCAGAAAAAGCTTTTTAGCATGGGCTGAAATATCTCAGTTCAGCAGAGCCTTGATGTCCAGGCAGGAATATTCATGGGTGGGGGGGAGTTGTTCTCTTCTCCCAAGTACCAAGCCGTAGAACAAGGGAATATTACTTCATGTTGCACCAGGGGAGGTTGAGGTTGGGATTTAGGAAAATTTCCTTCACAAAAAGAGTTGTTAGACACTGGATTGCCCAGGCAGTGGTGGAGTGCCCATTCTGGAGTGATTTTAAAGCCATGGGGATGTGGTACCTGGGGACAGGGGTCACTGGTGGCCTTGGCAGTGCTGGGGGACTGGTTGGATTTGATCTCAGGGGTCTTTTCCAACCTTAAAGATCCTGTGGTTCTCTGACACTAAAAAGTTGCCAAAGAGCTGAGCAGCTCCTGGCAGTGCAGGGCTGTGCAGGGACATAAATGGAGATTAATGGCAGCTTTTGACTGTCCTTTCCCAAAAATATACCAAAAAGACTCCTAGATCTTGCACATGGTGCATAAAGAGGAGTGTCAAGCTCTGTACTGGGCCAGCATTTGGGAGTGGAGCTGTACTTTTACTAATTTTCAGATCTTTAATACAAAGTGACTGGAAGGGCAAACTGCAATCATCAAGGCTCTTCACTAAGTATTTCATTTCATCTGAGGCAGAGGAAAAGGAACTGGGCAACAAAAGAGGCTGATGTGAAAAGATTTTATTTTTCTTTAACGGAGGGAAAATTTGTAGTGTGTTAAAAAAAAAATTAAATCCCTGACTAAAAAGTGACCATATTCATATAAAAGGAAATTCAGAATTAAATCAGGAGTGTCTGATGTAAATTCAAAACATCTTCTCTTACACAAGCAAGGTCTCAATAATGAAAACATTTGCCAGGATCAGGCTGTAACCTGACCTGGGATTTGCAGTCAAAATGTTTAGATCACTGGATTTAAATGTACTTTAGATCAAGAAGCTGAAAAATCCTTATTTTAAATAATTTGTCAAGTAGATATTTTTTCAATTTTAGCTCTTTTCCCAAGATTCATTTTTGCTGGTCAATATGCCTTTTAAAAGCTATTGATTTGCCTCTGGAAATCATCTGCCCATGGAGTTGTGCTTTATTCCTTCCATAACTTAATCTGCAATTTTGGAAGCAATATTAGGATTTCTGATTTAATTCCCCCCCTCCCCCCACCCCGATTATTTATACTTTGTATTTTTAATATTAAAAAAATAGCAAATTACAGCCTTCCATTCCACTGACTTATTGCATGACATTCCTGTCTGGTTAAATGTCACTTGGGTACAGTCTGGAATTCGACTGAAATACCCAGAAATTGGATTTTTGTTACAAGAGCATCAGCAGGGCTGCAGAACGGGAGCTGCACTGTTGCGTGAACATCCAGGATGGTTTTGTGGTGACAAACTAGGTAATTTAGGCACAGGGAACTGTTTGTGAGATTAAATATCTCACCAACAATGTCAGTCCTGCATCCCAGAGGAGTGTGGAGCTGCCCCCACTTCAGCAGGAGAAGGGGTGAAGAGTTAACTAGAATAAAATTGATATTGTATTCAAGACACAGCCAGGACCAAGGAGACCTGCATAAAAAAATACTCTGGTCTTGGATTTAAAATGGAAAGGAGGGAGGAAGTAAAATGCATCATTGAATCCAGGCTGGAATGAGGGAAAGCTGAGCTGTGCCTCAGTGCTGGGCACGTGGAATTTATTTATGGGCAGGAGGGTGCCAGGTCTGTGTCTCCTCTGGACCATGAGAAATGGTGGCAGGGGTTTGTTGGGGGTTTTGTCCTTGCTGGAAGGGACAGAAGAAGCTTCCAAAGCCACCATGGCTCCAGAAGAAGCCTCCAAAGCCACCATGGCTCCAGAAGAAGCCTCCAAAGCCACCATGGCTCTCAGGATCTGCCTGCTGGGCACGGGGTCACTGCCAGGGGGCTGCAGGAGGGGGATGCACAATCCAGGGAAGACTTTCCTCTAGAATTGAAAGTGAAGAATGTGGCTTAAGAGCATGAAAAACAAAAGGTTAATCGAGGGATTTGGCTGCATGCAAGCTGTACAGCATCTATTAAAAAGAAGTTTTTAATTGGATATTTGTTTTGCTGTCAGCATGCTAGGCTTAAAAATACACAGCTATTACTCTGAAACATCTGAGAGTGGAAAGGAGATGAGGCTGTGGAAACACTGGGGCAGGAGATACTTGGGGAGATTTTTTTTTGTTTATTGGATAGCAGAGTACAGACTTTGAGGAGACAGGAAATAGGAAAAATATATTATAATTTCACATTTACCTTATAACAAATCAAGGTGCTGTGAGCCACACCAGGGCTTGTGGTGCTGAATAGCACCCACATTATTAGAATCTGCACAATCTTCTGGACATCCCAGTCTGGCAGAAACTGGAGCTAAAATCTCAGTGTGGATTGCTTGTGAGTGAGCTTCACTGCCATGGCAAACCCTGAGCCCTGACACTGGTGCTCATGAGAAAACCACAGTCTGGGAATTTTCTGTGGAAGAGGGATCTCAACTATGGAAATAAAATGTTGGTGTGATTCTGAACATTGAATCTGAAGAATGGTGAAGGAAAGGCTCTTGCTTACCTGGCTGTTCTTGAGGTTATAAACCCATGGCTGCTGCTTGTAAGATAAAATTGAAGCAATACATGTAATTTTGGGTCTAGTCAGCAGCAAATGAGTGTATAAGACATCAAAAAATTGATGCAGTGGAGAAGGGAAGTGGTGCAGTGATCAGCCTGGAATTAGCAAGTGAACCTGAGCACTGGAAATGCTGCAGATTAATTAAAATCTGCATCCAGCAAATTCAGGGACATTGCCATGGAGCTGTCTGGACCTACCACGTTTCAGGCAGCAATGGAAACATTTACATGGGCATGTAACTACAAGAGGCACTGCAAGCTGAAATGTCTGGGTATAGACACCTTGCACAAATTCATTTTAAGTTGATTTAAGGGATGGGGAGGGCATGCCCTGGATAGATAAAAGTACCTGACAGAGATTTGGTCATGGCTGAGCATCCTGGCAGGTCTTGTGCCACCTGGGAGGAGGGAAACTTGTTTCAGGGGACCAAAGGATGTCTCTGCTTTTAGGAGAGCAGCAGGGCATGAGAAGCCAAGCCCTGGCTGGGATGTAGAGACTGAAGGTCCCGTGCCACAAGATTGCTAGGTGATAATTAATACCAAATTAATTTCATCAGCCTTGTTTTTTCCTTTTCTAAGAGGAAAAGTCCCCTGACATGCTCATGTCCATCTGCCCCTGACAGTCAGTGCTGCAGGGTGTTTTTCCTAAATGGAAGTGTAGTGTCAGAAGACAAAAACATTTTTCTCTGCAGTTTGTTTCTTCCTCTCTGGTATATCA